GGGCGGCCGGGGATTCCTCTTATAAAGTTTCTAAGAGAATAAGATAAAGACGAACCGCGGGGGACGGCCACTTCTCGTTTCAGAGGAGACTCTCCTAGCTCATCTGTTTCCGAAAATACGGGTAGCACTTGTTGGTCCCAGCAACCTGACAAGAGAGAAGTCATGCCAACAATCGCCCAGCTACGCGCCGAGATCGATCGGCTGAACCAAGCGATGGCCGGCCCGCACGAAAGTGCCGAGGCATCTGCCCAAGTTCACGGGCAAGAGAGGGGGAAGTTGTCCGCGAATGGCTGTTCCAGATCGAGAACGCCTGCCGCATCAACAACATTCCAATTGAAGACACGAGCGCGCGTCTTCCTGGAATCGCCGGATCGGCAATGGAAAAGCCAGCATTCGGATGGTTTCTGCACTGGTCGTCGACAACTCGAGCGGAGGAGCACACGTGGGGGATTTTCCGTGAGCATGTGCTCCAACACTTCGAAGCGTCGAATTACCAGTCTGTCCTGCGCGAGAAGCTTCAACGCCTCAAGCAGACAGCGGATACAATGGCGAGTATTCAGCCTTGATCTTCAGAGTTGAAGGAATGAGCGTGCTTGACCAAGTACATACTACGCGAACGGTCTCAAGCCGCGCACGCGTAGCTATGTCAAGCTCGAGAACCCAGATACCCTGAGTGACGCAATGGACCTTGCGGTCAAGTATGAGGTGACACACTTCGTCGACGAGTCGCGCGAACGTCACACTCGCCAAGACAAGCGGAAGCCGTCCATTGAGCACGCGCCGAGTCATGACAAGTCGCTCAAGGGAAAAACGTTTCGTGGTAAAGGGCGTTTCAAGGCGAAGACTAGCTCGAAACGAGCCGAAAGTCGTACCTGTTTCCACTGCAAGAAACCTGACCACATCAAGACCAACTGCTTCCTTTGGAAGAAGGAGCAAGAAATGCAGGGAAACGGGCAGCCACGTCAGTGAATGAGGGTCCTGTCGTGGAAGAGAACGTAGCCGGATCAGTTAAGTTTGAGAATGTCAGCCTTAACGTTCTGAGCGAAAACCCTCTCGTCTACAAGTCGCGTCCACTGTTCTCCGTAGAGGGGGAAATCATCGTTAGTGGCGCGACCATTTCGACCCGAAGGATGCTGTTGGACTGTGGAGCAACCACAATCTACGTGTTCAGACAGTGGGTCGAGAAACATCGACTCAAGGCCACGAAGTTCATTGGTAAGAACATTCGTGTGAAACTTGGAGACAACCAGATTGTCGAGACGGAACTGGAGGTACTTCCCCTCGAAATCCTGGTGTCTGGGTTGGGCGAGGCATACAAGTGTATCGCTGTCGTCTACGCCATACCCGACGAATTCGACTGCATCCTTGGAATCCCATTCTTCGAGGATATGTAGCCGCAGATCGACTGGAGAGGTCGATGTATCGAAGGAACGCAAGTGAAGACTCTGCATTGGAAGCGAACAGGGGAAACCAGTGGACCGATCGAGGAAGGCGGACCGGTGATTGCCTCCGGGCTTCGGAGATCTGTCGAGGCGAAAGGCCTATCGGCGAAAAGACCCGATTCCTGTCGAGGTGCCGCGCTGGAAACGGATGTGAAGTCCGCGGCTGAAATTGTTTGCGACGCAACGCAGAAAGAGAGCCCAAGTGTTGTTTGCGAACAACCAGGAGACGCGTCAGCCGGCAAGGGTTCGGCGGTGAAGGACAACTTGGAATTGTCGAAACGCGGCGGTACTGTACGAGAGGCTGGACATAGCAGCAGTACTGGGGGCAGAGGCACTGTCGTGGAAAATATGTTCACGATGGGTGTCGTTGACGAGGCTGGTGTCCAAACGAAGTTCATCACTCGCAAGAAACTACGAAAGTTCCTGAAAATCAAGACCAAGTCGATCGATGAACCTGACTTTATGTTGGTTCTGACGAACGTGACGATCAAGCAAGTTGCTCGCTCACTGCAACGGCAAGATCAACCCGACAACGTCGGAAGTGCGAAAGCACAACGGTATCTGGATACGGACTGGGATAGCTTCAAGGGGAATCCCGCGTACCAGTTACTTATGGAGTACATGGACAATGTGTTCCGTCCTGAGCTCCCAGAAGGTTTACTCGAGAAACGCGAGATTGAGCATAGGATTGACGTGGAGGATCCGAATCTTGCAATGTATCGGCAACAATGGCGTCAATCGCCAGAGCAGCAACGCGAGATTGTGCGTTGGGTGGTAGACATGGTGAAGAAGAAGCTCATCTGTCCAAGCATCAGTCCACATGCTGCTCCAACCTTCTGTGTACGAAAACCAGTTGGCTGGAGGATTATACACGACTACCGGTACTTGAACTCCATCACTGTACGTCAAAGTATCCCAATGACGAGGAAAGAGGACATTCTTGACGCGATGTCCGGAGCGTACTGGTTTTCCACAATGGATTTGATGTCCGCGTACTATCAAGTACGTATGCGTGAAGAGGATATCAAGTTCACAGCATTTCAAGCGCCAAACGGACTCTGGGAGTATCTTGTTCTGCCCATGGGAGTCTGTAATGCACCAGCGACGATGCATCGTTTAACGTCAAAGCTGTTCCGAGGTTTTGGAAAACACCAAGTCGTTTTATGATGACACCTATGTTTTCACGAAGTCTCAGAGCATCGACGACCACTTGAAGGCGTTGCGCCAGACATACGTCAAGCTTGCCAAGTGTGTCTTCTGTGCCGACGAGATTCCGTGTCTCGGGGACTTCGTAGGACGCAACGGTGTACGGATGGATCCGGACAAGGTACAAACCATCAAGGACTGGTCAGTACCACGAACACAAGAGGATCTTCACAGCTTCCTTGGGTTGACTGGTTACGTCCAACGATTTTGTCCAGACTACGCAGCATTTACTGCGACAATGCTCACTCTCTTGAAGAAGGAGAACAAGAGTAACGCGAAGATCCAATTCAATGATGAGCAGT